GGAAAGAGAGACACAGGTGCCTGGTCACACAGCTCACCCTGAACACCTCTTTCTTAATCATCATTACCTTTGTAATTTCTGTTTGATGTCCCTAGTCCGACAGGCTGTGTGCTCCATGAGGGTGGCAACCACGCCTGTCAGTCACTGCCGAAGACCCCCTAGTGCTCAGCACATGGCCTGCAGCATGGTCATGAGGTGGAAGTAATTGTTGAAGGAAATAAACAAGATTTCTGCTCAGCCAGAAGTCACGTGGTCATAAGGTGAGAGGCAGGCAAACAAATCTAGGTTCTAAGATGAACACCAGGTGAATTTTCATGGGTCAATATAATTTTTAATAGAAAAGAAATTACCAACATAACCATTGTCCGTGTGTGTACACGTACGTGCATGTGTGCTACTTCTTTCTTCTTATTCTATTTCTCAGGAGTTTGTTAATCCTTCTAGGATAGGCATACATTGCTGGTGGTGCCGAAAGTATAATGGAAAGCCAAGAATGCTAGAAGCCATCTTCCGTGTGCGGGAAAGAAGCCAAGCTGTCCACTTCCTCTTAGGGTGTTGAATAGACCTCTCTACTTCGCTTTTGCTTTCAGCTTAATCACCAAGCCTCAAGGAAACTATTTTCAAAGTTGATCTAAGACAAGGGCACTGTGCCTTGAACTTCAGTTTGAATCTGAGACACAACATTTGGATGAGTCACCTCGCTGGTCTCTCTAATGACCCGGCCGGCAAGAACCAGCGGTCTGTGCTCAGAAAGGATAACAAGACCCATGCAGATTCTGAGAGCTCGATGAGAAGTTAGTCATTTTTGGTTCCAGAAATGAGAAAACTGAGGCTCAGAGAAGTTACTCTGTAGTTTACCCCATGGTCCACTGGAACTTTAGAATCTCTTGTCTTAAACTCTAGAATTTATGCATTTATTAAGCCAAAATTTCAGACTCTAAAGATACCTCAGAAAATTCAGAAATTAAAGAATTCTTTTCTTTGGTCTTTTGAGTCAGTTGAGGAAAGTATGCCTTTATACTTTTATATCGATATGGACTGTTCCTTTTATTGAGCTTTTTCAGCCCTCAGAATTTGTGTTAGCATCACTTGATAAATGGTCAATTCCTATTTACTTAGGTGCCACAGGCTCCCCTCTCTCCCAAGGGCGGCAGCTCCACATGGGCTCCTGAAAGTTGCCTGTACTTTTCCACCGTGGCCGGAAGATGGCAGCAAACACTTTTGAAAGGCTGCTGCACATTTCCTTCTCATCAGGTTCAACGCTTCCTCATTATTCTGAATGTTAGATCTTGCTTTTGCAGATATTATCCCAATAATCAATCTCTTTGGAGTCCCTTAAAATTAAAACTATCACCTCAGACAATGTGTCTCAGTTGCAGAAAAGGATTAATTAACTCGAAGGTCATATTGATGAAAAGTACACTTCAGCTAAGGACTTATTCTCTGGATGGAATGTGACATCCTCAGATGCCTGCAGTGGTCCCTTCAACAGTAAAATTTGCAAAGCAAATTTTACCAAACCCCTGTCTTTCAGCACCAAAAACGCAACTCCCTAACTTAGAACAGCGCTCTCGCTCTGTCACCTATGACAGGCGAACTTGGGGCTTCAGCAATCGAATGCTTGTAATTGTCCTGACAAAGCAGCTATTTTTTTTTTTTTCTGAGAAATTAAAAGTTGATGTTGTTACCTTGGCCTCGTTCTATTAAAATTTTTGTTTTGTTTTGTTTTGGGGGCACGTCACGTGAGGACCAGGTTCCCAGGAACAGACTGTCACTCGCATTGAACTTGTCGTGCAACACACAAAGCAACCATGTAGAGCTATCCGCTCACACAGCGCAATGAACCATTGGCAGAGTAGAATGCGGACCTCCCTTAAACAATATGGATTTTGGGCATGAAACAGAGTCAAGAACTCTTGAACCTGCGTTCCAACAACGGCTCCTCCTATGATGAAGAGGGAGATGTACAGACTGTGGTTCATTTTTCCCAACACGAGTGATATGAGCCTCACTGATTTCTTTACACTGCGTAGGTATTACGAACATATACGGCATCAGATGACCTCGCAGGTCTTTTGTAATTCTCAGACTTTATGGTTCTGAGATGGGCTACCTAGTGGGCACGAGACTCCTCCCTGGCTCCCTTGTTCATGCAGAAACACTCTCGGCAACCAGGACATCATATAGCAAGTCGCTGTGCTGTTTCTCCTGTCACGTCTCAGGACCTTGCTAAGGGGTTTACTGCCTAACTGAGCCTTTTGTGAAAAACTATTTGCAAAGGGGTTTCGGGAAAAACGCTGGTTCAGTGCTACCGGCCAGACTCTTCCTCAGTTGGTTTGATTGTTCCTGACCATAGAAAGAGAGACGCTCTTGTAGGACGTGCAGCACAGCACACAGAGTTTGGGGCAATCGCAGAATGTTACTGTTAAAAGGGAACTTCCAGATCCTCCAAACTTACAAATGAGGAAACTGAGTGCCAGATGGGGTAACCCATTTGTCCAAGGCCAAGGGCGGTGGCAGAACCATAATTAGAACCAAAGCCCCACACATTCAACAAATATCTCTGGATGCGAAGAAATATACTAATGCTGAGGTAAAGAAAGATGAGTAAGACAGGCTCACACCATAATTAGCAAGGGGTACTGCTGGGGAGACACACGCAAACATAAGATCACTGGTAAATTTCATAGTAAAAGACTAAAAACAGAGGCTGAGAAAGACTCTTTGGAAGAAGCGATAGAATGCTGTAACACATTTGAAGAATATCTAGAAAGTCTACGTGGCTAAGGCCTGGGAGCCATGGAATGAAGAGGTGGAAAATAAGATAGGAGTTGCTGTGTCGAACTAGCATCTAGACTTGTCTCCTAGGCAGTGGACCCATGAGACATTCTAAAACAGCAGAGTAATACAGGCAGGAACCGGCAGCTATGAGGAAGGTGGACCTGGACCGAGGATGAACAGACAGAGAGAGGCTGGATGAGAGATGTCTCTGATGGATAATCAGAAGAACCTGACGGGCTGGATGAGAAAGGGAAGATAAGGGACTTCGAGGATGATTTCCCCGTTTCTAGCTTGGAAAAAGGGTCTTATGGGTTTAATTGTGTTTCCTCCGAAGACGTTGACATCCAAATTCCTGGTATCCGTGGATGTGACTTGATTTGGAAATGGAATCTTTGTAGATGTCATCAAGCTAAGATGAAGTCATATTTGATAAGGGTGAACCTTAATCCAGCATGATTAGTGTCCTAATCACACGGAGAGAAGATGGCCATGTGATGATGGAGGCAGAGATTAGCACAATGTGGCTATAAGCCACAGAATGCCAAGGATTGCTGGAAATCACCAGGAGCTATGAGAGAGGCATGGAACAGAGTTTCCCTCCCAGCCTTCCAGAAAGAACCAACACTGCCCACACCTCGACTCTGGACTTCTGGCTTCCTGAACTGTGAGAGAGCACATTTCTGTGCTTTAAAGTCACTCAGTTTGTGGTACTTTGCTGTGGCAGCCTCTAACTGACACAATGGATGACGGTACCATTCACCCCGAGGAGTTTGTGAGGGTCAGAGAGGAGTGAAATCGCCATCTCCCAGGTTATGGTCACAAGGTCATGGCTCAAATTCCAGTCTTTTCGACAGCAGCCGCCATGCACCATCATAATCAGGAAGCTCATACCAAATATGAAACTTGTGGGCTGGACTTAGTGTGTGTCCATGGAATTGTGTGATCTCTTAACATGATTTTTCATATCCTGAATTCCTTTTGCAATGTATGTACGCATTCTCTGAATTCTGAAAATCTGCTCATCCTAATGAAGTATTTCAATGTCGAGATTTTTTTTCACAGTACATAGAAAGGGAAACAAGTGATCAAAATGTTCATAAACAAATTGAGTTCTCCAAACCATGATTTTATTAATTTACTTAGCAAATTAATAAAAATTTCCAATATTTTGGGAAGGAACCGATAAGTATGCTCAAGAGTGAAATGAATGGATTGACTGCACATGAAGAAACTGGCTTGAGGTCAGAACTGGTCACTGTTCTGAGAAAAAGGGAAATGCACGTTCTGCTGGGTTTGTTCACGACCCTCGTCGGTTCCTGCATCCATCAGGCCTGCTGGCTTCTCCACCTCTGAGCCTTTTTCCCCATGGGGGAGCGGGGGGCGGGGAGGGCAACTCTCTCCTGAGACCTAGGCCTTGGATATGGGGGTTTTAGAAGTTCTAGTCCAACACCCTGGGTCTTAGCAATGCAGCCCAGGATAACCTGTGACCCGGCCTGATAATGCGACTCAAGCTACGATTCTAGGACTTAGACCTAAAAGTGTGAGTCAGCTCCAGAAACCAAGTCCTGCTCACGTGTCTAAGTCCACATCCTGGACACCTCTAGGTCTGAGATCTCATCTTTTCCCTGCCAGACATCCCTGCGCCGGCCTCCGAACCTGGCCCTGCGGTGTGGGCCCTTGCTCCCTTGGACAACTTGCATCCTATCTGTCCACGCCGAAGGGGATGTCATCACCAGCTAAGTGCCAACTGTTGATGTTTAGTTGGGGCACTTTCTAATGCTCTGAGTGCAAACCTTGACTGTGCCTAGGGAAAACAAAGATTCCCAGGCCCAAAGCCTGGATTTCCAACAAGCTTCCCCTGAAGAGTCAGGTTACTGACCAGCATTTCAGAACCTGTCTCCAAAACCTTCTCCTTACTTAAGAGATGAGCCACGCCTCAGAGAAGAAGTGCTTTGGAATGCCCCAGGCGAAAGTGAGGGCTTCCATCTTGGTAATTTCTCAGGGTCTCAGGATTCCAAACAAGGTCATGAGGTCAGATAAGAACACAACAAAGACATAGTTCAAGGGCGGCTGGAGGTGTGTGCAGGTTGGGGCTGGACAAGAAAAATATTTTGTGTCCTAGGAAACTGTCTGAGAGAGCGGCCTCTGAGCCACCACCTGGCTTTTCATCCTGGCTCAGGTTCCACATCTATAAACTAGTAAGAATTATGGCTCTCGCCTCATAGGGTTGATAAAAGGATTAAATGAGTTAATATACGAAGTGCTTAAAACATTACAATCTAGAGGCTATGTAAGAGGTTGTCACTATTCTCATGACCTTTCTTATGCCAGAGACTGAGAAGTAGGTACAGGAGCCTGAAGCAGGCAGGACATTCTCCTCATCCAGCTCTGCCTTCTGACCCAACAGGCTCCACCTCAGGGCCTTCGCACTTACTGTTTTTGTTCTTAGACTTCTCTTCCCCCAAGTAATTCTTGTTCCCTCACTTCACCGACATCTTTCGTTAAAGGTCACACCCTCGGAGAGCCTTTCCCTGACCACCCCACTGATAGAAGCCCTGGCCGCAATCTTGGCATATCTGTCCTTTACCCTGTTCATATTTACCCACAGCCTTATCATTCCCTGACATCACAGTACACATATATATATTTTTGTTTGTATATCGACAGTTCCCTCACACTGAACGTAAACTCTATGACAGGGACAGGGATTATTGTGTGTTTGGCTCACATCCCTGTATTCCCAGCACCTGGGACGGTGCCTAGCGGATAGCTGGCATTCAATCAACATTGCATAAACGAATGAATAAATCAATCCAGCTCTCTCCCTTCCGCTGGTCCCTTCCCAGACATCATCCTGGGGCTATTCTGTTTAGGGAAGATTTCTCAACAGCAGCACTGCTGACATTTATGGGCAGATAATCCTCTGTGGTGGGGTTTGCCCCGTGCTTTGCAAGATGTTTAGCAGTATCCCTGGCCTCTACCCACTAGACGCAAATTGTAACAGCCTCCCACTAAGATTTCTCAACAGCAGCACTGCTGACATTTATGTGCAGATAATCCTCTGTGGTGGGGTTTGCCCCATGCTTTGCAAGATGTTTAGCAGTATCCTTGGCCTCTACCCACTAGATGCAAATTGTAACAGCCTCCCACCCCAAGTCATGACAAACAAAGATGTCTCTAGATATTGCTAACAGTCCCCTGGGGGGTAAAACGCCCCTGGCTGAGAAATCACCAGGTGAGTGTCCGGCTGATTGAGTTAGTATAGTGGTTATTATCATTATTTGCTATGAAAGTGCATGCTCAGTAATGACTCAAAGAGGCCTGTGAACGTCTAAATGAAAACCACACATTATCCTGAGTCTTCAGTGAAGGCAATCGTTTCAATCAAGTGTTGTTTGATAACTACAATAATAAGTCATAGTGTATGTGCAAGGAGGGGTTACTTGGAAGTTAAAATGGTAAATAAGATTGAGTCAATTATTG